AACAACTCTTTCTTCCTGTCCATTTCATAGTCCTTAGGATGCCTCCAAAAAGAGCAAATAGAATCTTAATTCTGTGGGTATGAGTGCCTTTTAAATAACAGTATTCAGAGCTGCCTAACTCAAATGTCATTTTACAATAAATTCATTGTGAAACTGAAATGCTTTGACTGGATTCCCTGGGCAATCTGCAATGGCAACGTCCAGGAGAAACGTTTTTGTGTTGATGTCCTCTCCATACTCTTCTTTTGGATTGAAGATTTTAGTTATTACTTTCAACTTGTTTGGTTGTTCTGTTTTTTAGCTATAGCCAAAAGGTTAGTTATACATTTTCAAGTCTTCTCAGGACACAAACATTTGAAATTAAAAACTACAAAATGTTCACACATTGCATTCAACAAATGTCATTGTTCCTTGCAGTTGAAATAGAGTGATGAGATTCATCTACTTTACATTTTCCCTAAAAAAAGAAAGAAGGCAATTCAAAACAGAATTCTTCCTAATGGGTATGTGTGTATAATGATTTTATGTGTGCATGTTCTTGTTGCTAAGTGCTGTCAAGTCTATTTTGACTCACAGAGACCCTGTATAGGGTTTCCAAGGCTGCAAATCTTTGCAGAAGCAGAAAGCCTCATCTCTCCCCCAAGGAACAGCTGATGGGCTTGAACCACCAAACCTGTGGTTCACGGTCAGTGTTTATTCTTACAAAGCCACTGTGTTCCCATTATATATGTTGTTGCTACATGCCATCAAGTCAAATCCGACCCTGTATAGGGTTTCTAAGGAGTGGCTGGTGGACTTAAACCAAGGACCTATTGGTTAACAGTTCAGTGCTTATACTATAGTACCACACCAGAACTCCCATTATGTATGCATATTGTTGTTAAGTGTCCTCTAGTCAGATCCAACCCATAATGAACCTGTATAGATTTCCGAGGAGTGGCTGGTAGGTTATATACATGCAACAATAAAGACTAGAGTGCTTCAAAATGTTCATAAAAATTCCATTACGTTTTAATTCCATTTCCCACGTACACATATACACATAATATATGCTAAAATTGCACATTAAAACTTAGTTTTAATATTATGAGTATTTATTAAGAGAACTATGCCACAGTTTTCATTTCATACAATAAGAAAAAAATAAATCACAAAAATAATAGAAAGATGAACATCGTAAGGACTGTGTGTTGGTATTCTCTAAAGGAGAAAAATATGAGCTGATTTGTCCTATTACTGCTATTGAAATTTTGAGAGATGTTCTCTGGCTATAAAAAATGAAACTGAGAAATCTAGACTCAAAAGTACCAGTTTTTAGAAATGCTTATCATACAGACAATTTGAGTTACACTGAACTTGAACTTGTTACTTATGTACAAGTAGCCATATAAGTCTTTGATTTGTTACTAGATAAGTAAAAATTTCAGGTTTTAAAGGACAAAGTTCCTGTTTTCATACTCACTTGCAACAATACGTCTTCCATCTGCTAAGATCATTTCTCCATTTTCCACTAGAGTTTTCAAAATACAGGTGACATTTGTTGGAGCCTTGTCTGCTTCATCTACTACAAGAATATGGCCCAACTTTACTGCTTTCACCTTCAAAGATAGAAAATTTATCAGAAACCAGAGTGAAAACAACCGTTTTAAAAATCATTTACTGTTTTGGATTTGTAACAGTTAGTTTAAGTCATATGTTCGTGATCACAAAAAAAGTCCTCAGGAAATCTGGAACTAAAACTTATCTCCATCATAAGATTCACATAGTCACCAAATGTGCTAACTCTATATTGTTGTTAGGTGCCCAGGTTGTCGTGAAGTGCCATCGAGTCAGTTCCAACCCATAGCGACCCTGCATAGGGTTTCCAAGGAGCAGCTGATGAGTTTGAACCACCGCCTTGCAATTCAAACTGCTTTACAGCCTAGTGCTTTAACCCACAGCGCCACTCCAGAACTCCCCTCCAATTCAAAATGATACCATGCACAATAGAACAGAACACTGCCTGGTCCTGCGCCATCCTCAAAATTTTATGTTTGAGCCCATTGTTGCTGCCACTGTGTCCATCCATCTTGGTGGTCATCCTTTTTTGTTTTGCTGACCCTCTACTTTATCGAGCATGATGTCATTTTCTAGGGATTGGTCCCTCTTGATGGCCAAAGTACATGAGATGAAGTCTCACCATTCTTGCTTCTAAGGAGAATTTGGCTGTACTTCTCCCAGCAGGCTATGATACTTTCAATATTCTTTGTCAACATCATAATTCAAATGTATCTATTCTTCTCCAGTCTTTCTTATTCATTGTTCAGCTTTCATATGCATATGAGACTGAAAATACCATGGCTTGGGTCTGGTGCACCTTAGTCTTTAAATGGATATCTTTGCTCTTAAAAACTTTAAAAAGGCCTTTTGCAATAGATTTATCCAATGCAATATATTCTTTGATTTCCTGACTGCTGCTTCCATGAACCATGCTTGTGGATCAAAGTAAAATGAAATCCTTGACAACTTCAATCTCCTCTATTATAATGTTACCTATTGGTCCTGGTGTGGAGATTTTTGTTTTCTTTACATTGAGTTGAAATTCATACTGAAGGGTGTGTTCTTTGATCTTCATCAACAAGTGTTTTAAGTCCTCTGCTTTTAAGATCATGTCATTTATTAATGCGTCTTTCTCCAGTTCTGATGCTCTTCATTATGTAGCCCAGTTTCTTGGATTATTTGCTCAATATACAGATTAAATAAGTATGGCAAAAAGATACAACCCTGGTCACACCTTTCCTGATTTTCAACCATTCTGTATCCCCTTGTTATGTTCAAACGACTGCTTCTTGGTCTATGTACAGGTTCTAGAATTCCTGTTTTTCTCCTAGTTATCCATAGTTTGTTTATCCATATTAGCTACATAGTCAAATGCCTTTGCATTTTCAGTAAAGCACAAATAGACATCTTTCTGGTATCCTCTGCTTTCATCCAAGATTCATCTGACATGATCAATCATATCTCTTGCTCCATATAATCTTCTGAATCTGGTTTGAATTTCTGGTAGTTTCCTATTATTGTCCTGCTATCACTGTTTGTGAATTATCTTAAGCCAAATTTTACTTTCATGTGATATTCACGATATTGTTGGTAATTTCTACATTCTGTCATATCACCCTTCTTCAGAATGGGTAAAAATATCAATCTCTTCTAGTCAGTTAGACTATCAATCTCTTCGAGTCAATTGTTTTCATGATTTCTTGGCATAAACCAGTGAATGCTTCCAATATTGCATTCATTTGTTGAAACATTTTAATTGGTATTCTGTCAATTCCTGTTTTCAGTCAAAGTTTAGAGGGCACCTTGGACTTCTTCATTTAGTATCATCGGTTCTTGATCATATGCTATCTCCTGAAATGGCTGAATGTTGACCATTTCTTTATGACTCTGTATTCCTTCCATATTCCATTAATGCTTCTTGCATCATTCAATATTTTGACCACAGAATCCATCAATATTGCAATTCAGAGCTTGATTTTGTTTTTATTCAGTTCTTTCAGCTTGAGGATTGCTGAGCATGTTCTCCCTTTTTGGTTTTCTAATTCCAGGTCTTTGCAGTTTGCTATCTACTCAAGCTGCCCTTTGAATTTTTCTCTTTAGCTCTTTTACTTCATCATTGCTTCCATTAACTTTAGCTACTCTACATTCAAGGGCAAGTGCCACTGTCTCTTCTAACATCCATTTTGGTCTTTTCTTTCTTTCCTGTCTTTTAAATGATTTTTTGCTTTCTTCCAGTATGAGATATTCTTCATGTCATTCCACAACTTGTCTGGGTTTGGGTCATTAGTGTTCAATGTGTTAAATCTTCTTAAGATGGTCTCTAAATTCAGGTGGAATATATTCAAGGCAGTGTTTTGGCTTCTGTGGACCTTTTCTAATTTTCTTCAGCTTCAGCCTGACCTTACATAGCATAATTACTGATCTGTTCCACAGTCTTCCCATGGCCTTGTTTTGGCTGATGATATTGAACATGATGTCTCCATCACCTTTTACCATTGATGTAGTCAGTTTGATTCCTGTGTATTCCATCTGGTGAGGTTCATGTGTACAGTCACCTCTTGTGTTGTTAAAAAAATATATTTGCAATGAATGAGACATTGGTCTTGCAAAATTATATCATGTGAGCTCCAGCAACATTTCTACCATCAAGGCCATTTTTTCCAACTACTAAAAAATAGTTGTTTCCAACTTTGCATTCCAATCACCAGTAATTATCAAGGCATCTTTATTGCATGCTTATCAATTTCAGACTGAAGAAGTTGGTAGAATTTTTTGATTTTTTCATCATTGGCTTTGGTAGTTGGTGCATGAATTTGAATAATATTTGATCAATTATTGAAATTTTTTTTCTGATGAATATGATGCCATTTCTCTTCAATTTGTCATTTCCCCAAATAGTAATCCATATGATGTCTGATTCAAAATTGCCAAAACCTGTCCATTTCAGCTCATTAATGCCTAGGATATTGATCTTTATGTATTCCATAATGTTTCGATTATCAGGGGAGCTGACAACTGTTTCTTCTCATCTTGAGTCATGCCCCATCAGCAAATAAAGGTTCCGAAAGCTTTGCTGCATCCATATCATTAAAGTCAACTCTACTTTGTGGGGGAAGCTCTTTTTAAGTGGTATTTTGAATGCCTTCCTGAAGGGCTCATTTTCCGACAGCCTCAGAAATCCTATACACGGTCGCTATTAGTCAGAACTGACCTGGTAGTACAAAACCACCACCATCGGGGTCAATGAGAGGGAATACTCAGTGAATTTAAATGTCAACTCAAAGAATTTGCTTTAAATAATAAGAGATATTTCATAAGAGGGAGTGTGGTGGCGCCATAGGATAAGCACTAGACTACAAGCCACAAGTTCTGTGGTTTGAGGCATTCTGCTCTCTCAAAGATTGAAATCCTCGGAAACCATAGACGGGATTGCTGTGAGTCAAAATTGATTCTATAGCACTTAACAACAACAACAATCTCATAACAGAAACGGGACCATTTCATCTAATTTTCAGATTGCCTAGTTTGGGGCAGTAGTTTCATGTAAATATAAATAAGACAAAGGTGATTTCCTCTACCACAAGTATTTTATTCCACATTCCTGAAAAAAAAAAAAAAGGAAGCTTTTTTTAATTTTATAGTAACAGTAAGTTGAAGTAACAATGAGGAAAAATAATGTCTTAACCTTAGTTTTAACATATAGCCCCCCCAAAATAGGGGCCAAGCTAGGAGAGTTCAGGCAGGAGACCCTGAAGAGTCTGGACCATCGATGGTCCCATGATGCTTGTTGGTACCATTGCTGCAAAGCAAGGTCACCCCTGGTTGCCCAGTATTCTGGGTCTCAAATATGGAAGCTGAGGACTGCATTTTCATAGCTGCTAAAAAAAAACCCCACCATTCTTAAAAACATTATAGCAACCCTACTTAATTTCAACCTATACATTTTATTTTTAAATTCTAGAATGCAAAAGAAATCAATAATGAATTTCTGTCATTCCTTGAATCTCTCACTCTGGAGAGAGAACAGAGGAAAGATGTTCTTTTTGCAGTAATCTACATGTAAATATCTGTACCCCAATCAATACATGAACAAGTTAGAATCCATGGGAGATTTTGCTCCTTTCAAGGGTCAAATTCATTCCAAAAATAGTTGAAAATAGTCATGTGATTTGAGTACTAACCAAAGGCGAGTCTTCATATACTATGAGTCCATCTTTAACAGAGGGTTGAAGAGTAAGGGTTTGTACCGTGGTATCCCTAAAATGGAAACAACACATTTTATGGTTAGTGAGGAAATGAACTGATGTTTGATGATGAACAAAAATATAACACAAGAGCACTTCTGTTTTCTTCTTGTTCACCATCCTGCTTTTTCCTGAGATGAGTAAAAATTCCATTCAGCAACAGAATTTTGAAAATGTAATATAAATCACAAGGGTTTGGGAATCAACCCAGGGGTCCAGGGTGTCCCGGTTCTTTACATCTCTTTCTCCTTCTGGTAATTTCCTTTGTGACCTTTCACTCCTGAAAATCATCTCCAGAGAGGGAGGAGGAGGGAAAACAAATTACACACACACATATGGAGATACAACAAGTTCATGGAAAATGGAATTATATGATAAGGGAATTTTCCCACAAACTTTTCGTAGCCCTCTTGTTCATCTGCATGTTTGTGTATGTGTGGTTGTTGTTTGTTAGGTGCCGTCTAGTTGGTTTTTATTCATAGTGACAAAACACTGCTCAGTCCTTAGCCATCCTCACAATTGCTGTTCCGTTTGAACCCATGGTTACTGCCTCTGTGGTAACTCATCTTGTTTGAGGTCTTCCACTTTTTTGCTGACCCTCCACTTTACCAAGCATGATGTCCTTCTCCAGGGACCAATTCCTCTGATGACATGTTTGAAGTGTGAGAGACAAAGTTACATCATCCTGATTTCTAAGGAGCATTCTGGCTGCACTTCTTCCAAGAGAGATTTGTTAGTTCTTCTGGAAGTCCGTGGTACTTTCAATATTCTTTTTCAACATCATAATTCAAACACATCAATTCTTCTAAGGTCTTTCTTATCGTCCAATTTTCACATGGATATGAAGTGACTAAAAATACTATGACTTGGGTCAGGTGCGCCTTAATCCTCAAACATATAAATATACACACACACACGCACATGTACATATTTATTTGCATACATATAAATATATATTTACATACATGTAATATATATTTACATACATGTATTTACATACATGTAATTCTCAAATATATATTTACATGTATGTGTGTGTGTATATATACATATACATATATATATAGAGAGAGACAGAGACAGAGACAGAAAGAGAGAGTCCTGGTAGAGTGTATCAACTTTTTTATTTTAATGGGCAACTTCAACATAACAAATAATATATATATATATATATATATACATAATATATACAAATATATATATATATATACATATACATATACATATACATATACATATATATATATTGTTGTTGTTATATACCATGGAGTCGGTTCTGACTCATAGCTAAATCTTAAAGGGAGCAGAAAGCCTCATCTTTCTCCCGTGGAACAGCTGGTAGTTTCGAACTGCTGACTGTGAGATTAGCAACCTGATTCGTATGTTTTGATGGCCATGTGGCCAATTAAAGCCAGTCTATGGATTACATGGCGTCCTGGTGTGGCACTGTGGGTTAATGTGCTGGACTACAAAATCGGCTTGAACTACAAGGTTGGCAGTTCAAGCTCACCAGCTGCTCCTTGGAAACCCTATACAGAGTCGTCATGGGTCAGAAGTGACTCGATGGCACTTGACAACAACATCATGGATTACATAGGAGTCCTGGTGTGGCACTGTGGGCTAATGTGCTGGACTGCAAAGCCAGTCTGAACTGCAAGGTTGGTGGTTCAAGCTCACCACCACTCTTTGGAAACCCTATACAGGGTTGCCCAGACTCACAAAGGCACTTAACATGGATTACATTTTCATGCTCAATAGGCTGCCACTATGTGACATTAAGGAAAGTGAAAAGATACTGTGACAATTTATTAGTGCTTATTAAATTTTGGTGTGAATGAATTATAATCACATATCCTTTTTCTGTATTACTAGGTCTTGTAAATTTACCTTAGGACACTATTTAATGCTTCTTGAGAACAAGTTAAGTTTTAGAGTTTTAAACAAATCAAGAACAGAGTTTAATTAATCTCACTTAAATTCACTGTTAATATCCTAGCAATAGAGGAAGGGGGTGGATGAGAAAGGGAAAGAAATGTGTTCACACAGATTTTTATAGCAACACAACGAATTTCTCACCTCATCTGTCACATATTTAATGGGCAACAATATGACACCTCCCAGTACCAAAATGGGAAAAGGAACTCTTGCATCATTGTCAGTAAAAAGGAGAAATTCGGTCCTTATCTGCCTAATTATAATGCTTCAAAACAGATGAAGAACAGTAGATGCAGGCTGAACTCTAGCTTTAAAAAGGCAAATAAAATTTCTCTGTAGCACACAGCTTGTCAAAGTAGATTTCTCAAGGGACTTTTGTGCTAAAAATAGCCATAGGTTTGAAAGAACAAGAAAAAATCAGATATTTTCAGAAAGAGACTACAAATGAGGATAGAAAACAAATGGGAATTATGGTTTTCAGTGGAGTTTTCTGTAAGAAGGAGGAATTTATAGTATAAGAATGGAATTGTTCTGTTCTTACTATTGATTCTTTCCTCTTAAACATCAAAGGAAAAGCAAAGATTAGTAAAATATGTAAAATTTGTTGAGTTAAAGTTGATTGGCTTATATTTCAGTGTTGTTACTGCTGAGTTGGTTCCAACTCATAGTGACCCTTATAGGTTTCCAAGGAGCAGCTGGTGAGTTTGAACCACTGAACTTGTGGTTCAAACTACCCTTGCGTTCCAGTGCATTATTCTACAATGCCACACCAGGGCTCAATGTTTTTATTGTTGTTAAGTGCCATCGAGTTGATTCCGGCCCATAGCGACCCTATGTAGGGTTTCCAAGGAGCAGCTGGTGAGTTTGAACCACTGACCTTGCAGTTCCAAATGACTTTGCAGCCTTACATATTTGCTCACAACGCCACACCAGGACTCCAGGCTCAGTAGGGTACTCTAATTATAACATATAGTGTTTAAAATAACCCACTACCCTTTACATAAGGAGCTCTGGTAGCATAGTGGTTATGAGTTGGGCTGCTAATTTCACAGTTAGAAGCTCCACGGGAGAAAGATGAGGTTTTCTGCTCCCATAAAGATTTACAGCCTCAGAAACCCTATATAGGTTTGCTATGAGTCGGAACTGACTCCACGGCACATAGCCACTACCAATACCATCTATATAGTTACTGAGAACATCAAGAAAAAAGCATGCTTTCCAAAAACGAAGTATCCGATTGGAGTCCTGGTATGGCGCTTCAGGATAATGCACCGGACTACAAGGTCAGTTTGAACGGAAAGATTGATGGTTCAAACCCACCAGCTGTTTCTCAGAAATCCTATGCAAGGTCGCTATGGGTCAGAACCAACTCAATGGCACTTAACAACAACAAGTATATGATTATGTTTTAAGCCTCAATTTTAGTGATTAAGGTAACACCCATTGTCATGGGTAGCATATTAGCTTTTTCTTTTGTTTTATTTTACTGTGATATTTTAACAAATAAATAACACACAAAAAACACATTTGAAGTCCTTTCCAATTTCATTTCCTTTTCCTCCCCTGAATTAGGTGCTTATTAATCCCACATGTGTTTTCATGGTTTTTTTAGACATCTGAAAATGCTGAGAATCAAGAACTTGTGTTGTTTGGTTATTGTAAGTGTTAAATGAGAAGTAAGTATATTGATAAGGAGTTCTGGTAGCGTAGTGGTTACGAGTTGGGCTGCTAAACTCAAGGTCAGCAGTTTCAAACTACCTGTTTCAAACTGAAACAACTGTTCTGTGGGAGAAAGATGAAGCTTTCAGCTCCTGTAAAGATCTACAGCCTCGGAACCCTATGCAGGATTACTGTGAATCAGAACCGACTCCACGGCACACCACCACCAGCACCACCATACAGACAGTGTAAACATCATTCTGCAACTTTCTTTTCTTGCATAAGTAAATTATGTTTTGAGATTTATCCATGTTAGTATATATAGCTTGATTCATTCATTTCTACTGCTTTACATATAGTATTCCACCAAATGAATTTATTTATTTCATAGTGGTTATGAATTAGGCTGCAAACCGCAAGGTCAGCAGTTTGAAACTACCAGCTGTTCCGCGGGAGAAAGATGAGGCTTTCTGCTCCCGTAAAGATTTACAGCCTCAGAAACCCTATGTTGTTGTTGTTAAATGCCGTCAAGTCGGTTCCAACCCATAGCGACCCTGCACAGGGTTTCCGAGGGTGTAAATCTTTACAGGAGTAGAAAGTCTCATCTTTCTCCCGAGGAGCGGCTGGTAGTTTCGAACTGCTGACCTTAAGGTTCGCAGCCCGATTCGTAACCACTATGCTACCAGAAACCCTATACAGGGTCGCTATGAGTTGGAATTAACTCCACAGCACACAACAACAACAACAACTTTCTTTGCCTGAAGGGCATTTTTATCATTTTTATTTCTGGCTATGATAAATCACTATTGCTATCCATATTTTTCAACATGTTCCCTTAGGCACACTGTCTTTTATTTATTTATTTTTTTTAAAGATTATACTTTGTTTCATTACAATGATTATAATCCCTTCCATGTGCCATCAGTTAACAGTATTTCTCCCTATTCATTTTAGCTCTTTTTATTTTATTTTTAAACACTCAGGCATATATGTATGGCACATTGTCTTACAGTGAAAACACACGTTCTGCTACAGCAAAATTAAGAGATTTATTTACAGTCCAGTCTGTATCGGTAAGATGTCCAAACACACAGAGTGAAGATGGTTGCTCCACCTGATAGTGAGGAAGAAGACATTTTGTAGAGTTAAAGCAGAACCAAAATTATAATTAACTGAAAGACAATCAGGGGAGTGAAGGGTGAGATATTTCAAAGAGAAGATTTAGCAAGGATAGGTGGATAAAACAAAAGGTTTCAAAAATCCCATTAACTTTTAATTCCATTTTCCCATGACCTTTCTGAAGCATTCTTGTCAATGTGGGGTTACATGATTCGTTAAGGGACATGCTCTTTAGTTCATTACAGGATGGGGTTTTCTGGAATCTGATATTAAAAATGCTTTCTCAATCAAGTCAGTTTC